GAATGAGGTGGAGCAAGAAAGAAGTTAAAGGAGAAAGTTTAGGAGAAGCATAGGGTTAGGAGAAGACTCACCGTCCTCAACTGCTATTCAATTACTGGATGGTGAAGGTGGAGAGGGAACAACTGCTACCGCTTCTTAACTATCCAGCAGGCCAGTCAATGGCTTTTGCACTTACTAGGTGGAGATCTCCCCAGCAGATCTCATTAGGAGAGCAAAGGTGACCACTGCAAGTGACTCAGCCCCTCCCCTGGGCAGTACTGGCTGGAGTTTGGGGCAGGAGGCACAGATCCTGGCCAAGCATCTTCACAATAGAATTATTTGCTTAAACTCAGGCAAAATAAAGCTATTCTTAGAAATCCTGTAAGGCCAGTAGAGAATTATTGTTAACTCAACTACAGCTGTGTCTGAGAAGATCCGACTCTTTAAATCCTTGCCTTACTGCAATCTCTTCTAGGAATGAGAAAGAAGCACTAAGACAGACCATTTTGACATCACAACCTGGGGATGCCTAGAGGTGGTGTCTTGAGTGACATCACTAAGAGGTGGCAGTGGCCACCACCAGCCTGAAGTGGTAGAAGAGGCATCCAAATGCACGGGGAAAAAAGATGGTCTCTGGGGCTTCACCTGGACTCATCTTCTTGCTGACATGGTCCAGTGGGTCCTCACCAGCTATGAAAAGTCAGGAGAGACGATGGACCATGAAGTAACATACTAGTTACTTAGTTTTGCTGCAAATTCTGAGCCATTATTTGATAATATTTTCCCTCTTGTTGACATCTAATGTGCCAAGTGAGCCAACATCATTTGGGGGTGTTCAGAGTAGGGGTCTAATTCTTTGGAATCTACATTCCCCATTCTCATCCTATATCCAAATTCCCAAAATTACATCTGGGCAAGTTTCTTCATCTCTTTTTGGGAGGTGGGAAAGAATGGTACTTCCCCATCCCAGTGGTTTTCAATCCTGTCTGTGTCAATCACTTGGGGAGTTTTCCTAACTATACTATATATTCTTTTTTTTTTTTTTTTTTTGGAGACGAAGACTCACCCTGCACCTATGCTGGAGTGCAATGGCACGATCTCAGCTCACTGCAACCTCTGCATCCCAGATTCAAGCAATTCTCCTGCCTCAGCTTCCCAAGTGGCTGGGATTACAGGTGCCTGCCATCATGCTCAACTAATTTTTTCATATTTTTAGTAAAGATGGGGTTTCACCATGTTGGCCAGGCTGGTCCTGAACTCCTGACATCAGGTGATCTTCCTGACTCGGCCCCGCAAAGTGCTGAGATTACAGGCATGAGCCACCACACCAGGCCACTAACTGTATATTCCCAGGCACCATCTGAGAGGCACCGACTCAGCAGACTGAGGCAGGACTGACTCGGGAAGCTGAATGCCTAGAGTCGGATATCAGAGAGCCTCTGGGCAAGAAGGGGACAACCAAGAACACAGAGTCAGGAGAGGGAAAGGAATCCGCAGGGAGTATAGCAGCGTGAGTAAAGGCCTATGTTTACAGAGCCCCAAACACCTAGGTTTGAATCCTGGTTCTGCTACTTACTGTGTAATATTGCATATATTAATTACTTAACCTTTCTGAGCCTCATACTCCTCATTGATAAAATGAAGACTTATTTCATGGGGCTGCTGGGAGAATGAAAATGAGATAACAATAGTGATACATTCCGCACAGAAGCTTGTATGTGGCAAGGGTTCAATTAATGACAGCCACATAGTCACTGAGGTGACAGTTATGTTATTATAAGACTATTACTATTAATAGGATTACCACTGTGAGGGGCTGAAATGTTGGCCACCACACTGCTGTTCCTTAAAGCAACAGGGGAGAAGGTGGGGGGGGCTGCATTTCTGAAGCTATTTCCACACAGTTTGCCCCTCTCCCTTCTGCTAACATCTCTTCCATCCCACAGACAGCAGTCTCCAAAGATTACAAAATTAAAAGTGACAGCTCCTTGGAATTTCCAAAGTTTTCTTTTTTAAAAAAAGAACAGTTTTAAACCTCATTGATTGAGACATGATAATTCTATTTATATTCTAAAAGTCTGGCCAGAAGTTTGCTTTTTCACTGTAGCTGGGGGAAAAAAGAAGGTTGCTAAGCCAGCACAAACAAACTTTCACACAGTCCCTTACTATTTAGGAGGATCAGCTTTGAGATCTTTAGAAATATCTTTTTAATACTGTATAAACAACTAAAATTTAGACAGAGAAGGCAGTCCTTAGGCTAGGCTTTGATAGGTTTATTACAAATAATTCTAGTTCCAAATTCTGAATTAAAACCAAACAAAAAAACCCAGCAGTAAAAACAACCTTCTTCCCAGGACAGAGACTCTGGAATGAATGATGGCTCAGATTTCTCAGTCCACGCTGTTTCTTAATGCACATTTGCATCTATGGGAAGAGCCTCCGCTAGGTGCCATCTGTCTTGAATGCCTTTCTTTGAAAGGCTTACATCTTTCCTATGTTAAGAAGGATGTGCAAAGAGTGAGCGCACAGCCACTTATCGGGAGCACAGGACTGGAGCAGCACCACGGACAGGGCTGATGAGGCCCTGCTGGAGCTCACAGACAACATGAAAACCACAAATCAAGGATCGAGAAATCCAGAGACTCTCTTGAAACTTAAAAAAAGAAGAAGAAGAAAAAAAAAAAAAAAAAACCTCAAAACCAAAACCCTGTGATTATTTAACATGATCTAGCGCAAATGTTTCCTTCATTTATAAGAAGCCTTGATCTAACTGAATACATCAGTGATCTATGCCTGGATATGTCATCTAGGCGGGAGTGAGGGCGTGAGATGGAATTTACCCTATTTTTAAAAGCTCTCCAGGGAGGATGACTTTTTAGAAACTTGTGTTAAAGTCTAATCATCTTTGCTATTAAGAATTTTTTTTATCTCCAAACTAATTTTTTCCTTTTTATTCTTTAATAGTATTTCTCCCTTTTTTGTCTCTGAAAATAAAAAAATACTAAGATTTGCTTCTAAATTATATGTGACAAGTGTTTATGACATCCCTTATTGTTTTTGCCTCTATGCAAAATAAATCCATTTCCCGCATGTGCTGGACTTGCATGCCAAAACTCAGGCATGGTCGTCAGCAGGGGTTGCTATGTATGGTGGCTGATGGCACAGCTCTGGCTGTGTGGTCGTGAAACCCCATCTTCGGATCAACAGCCAAGCTGACTACAGAGCTGTGAGTGCTGCCTGTGGCAGGCCTAAGGCAGTCTTCCAGTCCAATGGGAGCCACTGTTCCTATCCACAGGACTTCTTCAAGTGGGCCTTCCTTTCCCTGTGTCCATGGGATGCTGTGCCCTCTGCATGCTCTGTGCTTATTGCCTTGAAGGAAACTCTATCTTACGAGTGGGCTGGGTTCACAAGTCCAAGTAAAGCACAAATAAAAAAACCCAACTAGTCAAAATTACTCTGAAAAAACTTCTCCCTAACTCAACTTAGTCAGTTGTTACTTCACCAATGCTTTTGTATAGTAATCAGTACCATGAGACAGAAAGACTAGGCTCTTTACACCAAATAGACTCTTGTTGGCCGTGAGGAATCCTGATCAGGATTAAATTATCAGCTTTTAGTTCTGCAAATCTGGTTTTGTTCGGTAGACTTTTCTTTTCATTCAAAATGGGCCCCAGGCATGAAATGGTTAGAAACCAATTACTGGGGCATATGAGAGACCAAAAATGGACTATGGTATTTTAACTAATCCTATATCCAACACATCCCAGTGTGTCATTTCATATATGACTGATCAATCAGAGTTTGGTAAATAACTGAATGAATAACTTTACCAACGATGAGAAAGGCTGAGAAGGATGGTCTGCTGAGCTGATTAGAGCAGAAAAGCATCAAGATTGTGGCAGTGGCATTCATCCCCAAGAAACAACTCTGGCTCCACAGTCCAAAGCCTTCACTCGTCAGTGTTTTCCAGGTATTACTGAGGATCCATTATGTGCCAGCAAGGTTTTCTGTGGCGTTCTGGACACATGCTCTCACAACTGCCCCCACACTGGACACAGTATGCTGAAGTGGTCTTGCTGAACTCTCTACCAGATGGGAACTACTGAGGACAGGGTACATGTCCAATTCACGGCATTACTTCCAACGACAGTGCCTGGCGCACAGCAAGTGTTCAATAATACTTGGATGAATGAGGTTTGGAGCACTCAACATCTCACCCTAGAACAGTATTTAACAAAACTTCCTCCCCCATACCACATCTACTCGCCCTCTTCTGGGTCACTCATCCAACGATCATATAATCCCTCCTATTAGGATAAGTCTCAAGATGTTGCCCCTAACTCACATTTTAGAAACTTCCTTGACACTTAGACTTTTTGCCCCAGAAAGAATATTTCTTCGACACAAATGTGGCTGTCTTCCCTAGCAGGTACAAATTCCTATCCAACTCTTTCATAAAATGTTTTCTATATTAGCTAAAACTCTTATTTTCAAGAAATGTCATCTCCCATTTGACTGATACCTGGATACCTGTTTAGGAATTCCCTACCAAAGAGAGATACCCTGAGGGCCCCGGCAATGAGTTAGTTGCAGGAGTGAGAACCAGGTAATTTTCCTGTTGATGGTTGGCAGATCTACCTCCTGCCCACCCACTATAATGACTCAGCTTCCCTGAGTCACTGCTCAACCACCAGCAACAGGTGACCACCTCAGGTACAAAGCCTTGGGTAGTTGGGTACAGGCAGCTTTTTTTCCAGAGCCCCACATGTTCAAAGCATTATAACTAAGCTAACACTGGCTACCCCATTAATCACGTACACCCTAGGGGAACAGGACTGAAATACCATCTGGATAGACTCCGGTGATACAGTCAGCAAGGAGTGAGACGCCACCACAAAACACAAGGTTAGAGGGAAGCAAATGACTGGGAAACAGCCCATAGCTGCCAGGAAAAACCCCAAGGTGAAAAAGAAAGTAGCAGCACCAGTACAAAGAGAGGCACACAATTTCCCTTTAATTACCTTCAGATTTAGGACTAGGAGTAGATGCAGGAAACTGGTAGGTAGGAGTGTAAGGATTGTCCTCTGTAGCAGAGAAAAGCAGTGGATTTTGAAACTATCCACCAGGAAGTAGAGGAACTGACAAATCCCAATGGACTCTGAATGACTGATTACCTATTTTAGTGTTATTAAAGCACACGGGCATCACACTTAAAAATAGATTAATGAATTAGAAAGGACTTGGTTATTTTAACATAGCACAACATGCAAATGAGTGAAATCAAATTTTCACCAGCCAAAAACAACTATGAAAACAAAATCTAAAAGCCAAATCTTATGCCTACAATGGAACTATAAGAATTAATTCAAAGCTAGGACAACAGATATGCTGTCTAAGTTTATGGTACCTTCAGAAGTTTGCTGGATTTCAGGAAGTTCAGGGAATTTGTACGTAGGGAAATAAGGGTTTTCTTCAGGAGTGTCTAGGCAGAGGAGCAGGTTTGGGAGAGAGAATAGAGGAAGATACAAATGGAGAGAATAAACGAGTAGGAATCCACATACAACTTAGGCTCCTTGGATTCTGGAACATACTAAGCTTCATGAGTGACATGAAAGAAATTCAAACTGCTTTTAAAAATCCAGTCCTTTTGCCTGAATTACCGAGACACATCGAAAGAGACAACATCATTACTTTTCTTGGACAAAGAATTGCCATGAACAGGCTCCAATGGGCAAGAAACATTTAACATAAAGCTTCAGGTTTTTACTTTTGATAGGCAAGAAATATTAAGCATGATAATAAATAGTAGGTAATAAACATGCTATCCTAAAATGATTTTTTAAATCAACACTTACGTTGTAGACATTCAGCAAACAAGTAGATCATTAATTTTTCAAATACCTCTGCCTACCTTTAAGGCAGGTAGTTTTGTTTAACACCTAAAATTTAGGTTAAGAACTGTAACATGAGAAAACGAAGCTGCCTGTGGGGCAAAATTACATATTTTGCACATTTACATGCATCCATGTCTCTGCAATTAGACTTCCAAAGCGGGGTCTGAAGGTGACAGAGTCACAGATTGCATGAGGAAATGGGCAGTGGCTTCAGGAAGTGATGAGTGGAGCTAACCCCATCTGATCACCGAAATCCAAGCATTTAATTTCACCAGTGTGACCAAGCTCATCCACCCAACCACAGTGGATTTACTCTTGACTTGGAAATGCTAAATGCCTCAATATTTAGAGCACTTCAATATTTAGAAACAGTTTGAACAGGGGCACACTCAGGTTTATTTTGAACCCAGCAGGGGTTAATTAACAGTGATGTTAGTTGGTATCTGCAGCTCATCAGAGAGACTGGACTTAGGTGGGAACACTGACCAGAACACTTTCTCTTTGCCTTTATGTGTCATCCATGCCAGGCAGCCAGACTGGATTTGGGGAAGGGGAAGGGCAGGATGCTTTGGCCATGGGAGGGGTGGTACCTTCCCACAGTGCAGTTACATCCTGCCTATCAGCTGGCTGGCAGCACAGGCAGTGATGGGAGCCGGTGGGGTCATGTCCTGCCCGAGCACTGGCCTGTGGTTCTCGATGCTGGGTCACCTGCTGATAGCCCAGCCGGCGTCTGATTTGGAAGCACTGCTCTTTCAGCTTGAGCGGGCTCTGGTGTGTCAGCTCCTGACTGACTCTCAGGGCTCCCTGCCAAGGGCTGGCTCTCAGCTGGGGAAGATTATTGTTCATATCAATACAGCCTTAGAGGTACACTATGCACTCTACTTCATAAGGCCAGATATGTTCTCCTTTAGACCCTGTGGCATCCCCTGAAGGAAAGGAAGCAGAACAAACACAGAAAGGTACATGATTGGCCCAGGGATATCTGAGTGCTTGGGAGACTGAATTCAGGTGAGAACAGTGTTTTTAATTCCCAGTTCTGTGTGTTCTCAACTCACTCTGCCCACAAGGCAGTCATGGGCTGACACAGGGAGATATACCTAAGGCTGGAAGCAGGTGGGAGATGGAGCTGCTCACATCCCAGGCAGACAGATGCTGGAACACAGGTGGAGCGCTGGGCTCAGCCTGCTGCATTCCACATCTGGGAGGGAGGACTGGAGAGCAAACCTCAAATTCCAACTCTGAGGCAGCCACACAAGTGCTTCCTCCGTCCTATGCTCTGAAGGTACATGGCTGGGCTCAGGCAAACCAGTACCTAATGAGGTCCAACTGTAGGACCCAGTCTTCTGGCATCCTAGCAAAGTGAATTCAGGCCCGCAAAACAGTCAGTGCATTGGCACACAGCACAGCACAGCTTCTACAAATGAAAATCAGTACCTCTGTTTAGTTTGTGGATCTGTTTAAACATAGTCTTGTACCAGTCTTTTGATCGCTCAGTGTTCTGTAGAAAAACAAAGGCAAAGTGAAATAAAATGAGTATCTTGATGCATTTCAGACCTCCTATGATTTCAAAATCAAAATGGAGAGTAGTGATATCCGAATTCAAAACTCAGCCACATTTATCTTTTTTAAAAAGGCAAAACTTTTTACAAAGAGAAAACCAGGGGTCCCAAACCTCAATCTACAGAGTAATATTTGGCCAAAAGGATACAGATTTTGAAAACGGTGGACGAGGATCCACTTGAAATGTATCCATTTTTAAATTTTTTAAATTTTATTTTTAGAGAGAATCTCTCTCCATATATAGACTGTGCCAAACTGAAGGAAAGTCTTCTAGAAATATAAGAGACAAAGAATATTTGCTTGTCATGCTGTGCCCCCACCCATTCTAGATTATTCAGTAGAAATGTATCCAAGTCACCTTACATAGGGCCAGATTTAGAATGCATACATTAAAACATAACTCATTATAGCATGTACCGCCAGAGTTTTCACCCTAACCACAATGTTGGAATGGTTGTTTTGTTTTTTTTTTTAAAGATAAAAATAAAACAAGAAAGGTGACAGATAGGTGACTAGAGAAGATATTTTCACTCCCACCTTACAGAAGAGGAAATGAAATACAGAATGGCAAAGCGAACTGCCCAAGGTCACAGAGCTGATGAGAAAGTGGGTGGAAGGGCCATCCAACATGATGGTTAGGGGTATAGGTTTGGCAGTCAGACAGACCACTCTGTCACCCACAAGCTGTGGAATCTTGAATGAGTAACAAATCCCTCTGAGTCCCCGTTTCCTCATCTATAAGATGGAAATGATATTAGTATCCACTACTGACTTGAGTGAGTGATGCTTAAATGAGATAATGTACTCAGCAAATGGTAGCTGTGATTTCTCTTAGGAATAACTTCCCTTCTATATTACTACTTAGGACCAGAGAAGAGTTCTTTTGAGGCTCAGCCCACTGTGGTTTCTATCGGCCTCCTCCAAAACCACACATTTGTTAAATGAAAATCACAGTGGAACATATTACAGCCAATGGTCTGGTAGACACATGGAAAAGAACAGAATTCAGCCAAATCCAGTTCCAAAAGTTGGGCTTCCCCGGAATTCCTTAGAGTCTGCAGGACTGGCAGGCCTGTGCTGCCAGGGAGAGTGGGGTCAAGGATGCCACAAGACCTGCTCTGTCCGGTAAGCGTGGCTGGCCAAATACATTCCAAGGTTCCCTTAGAGTTCCCTACTCACTATGGATGACAAGTGATCTCCCATCCAGGGGGATCTTCTTCCTGAACCTATAAACAGGGACCTTGGGCCTCATACTCTCCCCAAAATTCTCTAACCCTAAGGCCAGGAATTTCTCAACACAGAACAATAATGAAGTAAGACTGCCCAGAACATTGTCCCTGGAACACTCACAGACTCAAAGCCTCTGAAAAGTTCTGCAGCAGGGAAATCTGACTTGATCCCACCCAGCTTTTCCTCATGTTTACTTGACCATGAAATCCTTTATTCACAGGACTTATACCATCCAACACCCACTTTGGGAAAAGCTATTGTACACCAAGCCTGGAGAACAGCTCCTGGGGGCTCTGGCACTCATGGGGTTTACAGAGACGATGGTGTGATGGGGTTTGCATGTTCTCAGGGTGTACACTTGTCACGCTCAAGATGAAGCCTAAGAAGGACTTCTAGGTCAATATGCATACCCGGAGTGGGATGCCCACTTCATCCATGGAAACATCGCTTAGGTCCTGAGCGCTCTTCACCACCCGCCTACTATCATCCTTTGCTCTTTTTTCAGCAGCTCTGGCAGGTGAGGTGGGTTTTTCCTGGGTTGGGGCTGAGTCCTGCTCTCCCACTCTTCTTTCTGAGACAGGATCTGGAAATGAAAAGCAATTGTTAGCTGAAGCTCTTTTGGTAGCTGCAAAGCAAAACACTCCTGAACAGGCTAGCTGGCGGGGAGCGTGTTTGCTAATTCTCAACTGGAATTAGTTCTGCTTAGAGTAGGGGTCAGCAAACTATGGCCCATGGGCTGGCCACCTGTTTTTATAAGTAGAGTTTTATTGTAACACAACCATGCCAATTCCTTTACATATTATTTATGGATTCCTTTGCATTACTATGGCCGAGCTGAGTAGCTGTGACAGAAACCATATGGCTTGCAAAGTCTAAAATATTTATCATCTTGTCCTTAAAAAAAAAAGGCTTGCTAACAGTGTGATCAGAGCTTTGCAGAGGTATGCACATTGTGCTCTGGTCAACTGAGTAGTTCTGACTATTCTAGAAATTAAGGAACAGGTAGAACCACAGGAGGAGGCTAAACATTACTTGAAAGCTTTTGATTCCTCTTGAGGAAGTCACTTAACTTTTCTGTGCCTCAGTTTCCTCATCCAAAAACAGAGATAACACTTCTATTGGCAAGCTCACAGCAATGTGGTGAGAGGACTTAACAGGATAACTTATGCCAAAGTGTTCAGGAAGCTGTTCATTGCTAAGTGTACATTACAGATTATTTTTGTTCAAGATTGGAAGTTACAGAGCACTAATAAAGATACCAGATATGATCTGCAGATTATAAAATTACTTAATAGAATCTGGTTTCCAAGCTATGACATTTATTTACTGGGCAGACATTGTGCTCTGCCTTGTGGACATGAAGGTGAGTATTACAGAATCCTAGCCTTCAGGGAGCTTACAGTCCAGCGGGCAGAAAAAGCAAGTGAGCCAGCAATGAGAATGCAGGGTGATGGGGGCCGATTCTCAGAAGAGAAGCCACCCAAACTCACAGGAAGTGTGCTCCAAACAGAGGGAACAGCTTAAATACTTGGGGGTCTGTGAACTACTGAGCTAATTATGTGCCAGGCATTGCACTAAACTCTTCATATACATTATCTCATTTTATCCTCCCAATGATCTGTGAGGAAGAAACTATTATCACCTCTTTTTTTTTTTTTTCTCAATAGTTAAAGGATCGATACACAGAAAAGTTAAAGTATCCTGCATGGGGCCACACAACCAGCTCGTGGCCAAGCTGTGATGTGGCCTAATGACCACCTGACTCTAGCAGTCCTCTCTGAACTACATCCTCTCTTGCCTCCTCCAAAGACAGTACCAAGGTTTCAAGTCTGGGAGCCTGGCCTAATCCAAATGCAGAAGTTAGATCTGGGCTGGGAAAGGGAGGGGAAAATGGCTGCTTCCATTTGAATCATGGTAACCTTGTGAAGACAGCAAGATACTCAATAAGAATGCCCCAGAGACCCCTAGAGGAAATACGGAGGGGCCAGGCATTGCACTATACTCTTCAAATATTTATGAAGTGATGGCTGATGCCAGGGAGATGGCAGAGCTCAGTGGTGGACAGAAGCGCTAAAGTTATGCATGGAGGGACACCACAGTTACAGCTGCAAGGCAAAAGAATCCCCAAAGGGATGCAAAATCGTCCAAGGGACAGGAGATGAACCAGGAAAGTACACAAGGTGCCACCGAACCAGGGAAGACAGAACTCCAAGAAGTGGGTGGTTAAGCGTCAAAAAAAAAAAAAAAAAAAAAAAAAAAAAAAACCCCACAGAAATTGAAGCAGAGGAGGCGGCATTAGATTAGGCAAGAGAGAAGTCACGGGAACACTCCAAGGGAGCAACTTCAGGAGGGCAACGGGGGTGGGTGCCAGATTGCAGGGAAAGGGTTGAAGGTGTGAGCAGGAAGCTGGGGGAGTGAGTGGGGAATTCAGCACAGAGGAAGGAATGTGTTAGATGGTAATTAAAGAGGGTCAAAAGATTAGGGGCAAAAAGGTTTAAGATGGCCAGGTGCGGTGGCTCATGCTTCTCAACACATCAGGAAGCTGAGGCAGGAGGATCGCTTGAACCTAGAAGTTCAAGACCAGCCTGGGCAACATGGCGAGATCCCATGACTACAAAAAATTAAAAAATTAGCCAGGCACATGCCTGTTGTTCCAGCTCTTGAGAGGCTGAGTTGGAAGGATCTCCTGAGCCTGGGAGGCTGAAGCTACAGTAAGCCATGATCATGCCACTATACTCCACCCTTGGCAATAAACCGAGACTTAGTCTCAAAAAAAAAAAAAAGTTTAAGCCAAGGGAGCCTAAAATCCTATCAGTGAGAGTGAGGTCCATGAGGTAAGGATGAAGGGCATCAAAATGTGCTGTGGCAATTAGTAAGTGCTCAGTTAAAACCTGCTCATTGATTGACTGAGGACAGGTTCTCGTCTTTGAGAAAGGATAAGGTACAGACTGTTGGCTGGGGGACAAACTTGGGAGCAAAGGAAGAATGTGAGGACACAGGCAAAGTTGTAACAAAGTCAGAGATGCCTGTGAGTGGAGGAGATGCTGGAGAAGTGGGAGAAACACTGACGTCAGCATGCTCAGGTTCTACGACTTTCAGTCTCCTCCGTGGGGTGACTGCCCACACCCAAAGGATTTCTAAGCTTAGTAAGTGCTTCCGAAAGCCTGATCCCTGGCAGCATCACCATCAATGTCAAAGGATGTTAAGACCAGATTGGCTTCATGGAATGGGTTCTCATGCTCCCAGAAAATTCCAATGGGAGGCCAAGGATTTGGCAGGAAGCCTGGAAGAATAGAAGGATTTCGAGTTATCCGATTCTACCCTTAATATGGCTCTGCTGAGCACTCTCCTCCCACCTGGAAAGGCCTTCTGTTGAGTGTGAGCAGAAGGGAAGAGATGAGGCTGACTTCAAGCTCAGTCTCACCTGGGGCTTTAAGATCATGGTGAGGATCACAGACGCCATTCTCAGGGTTAGGGCAGGTGGCTCTAACAACAGTCACTTCACTGCGAAATCAGGCTGACAGTCCATGGATTTGTCCTAAAGCTGTCAGAGTTCTTTTGATCTACAAAAACTAGCCCTGAATTGTTTTGCTTGAGAAGCTTGTGGTCATATGACTCATCATTGAGTGGATTTCAATATACAGAGAGCTCTTGAAGAAAAAGCGTCCCTTTATACAACAAAAACCTAAAGTGACAATTAACTTAACTGTACCACGCAGATGACAGGGCCAGGCGTTGACACCTGTATTACAATGAAGGCTTGCTGTTTTCTCGGTAGGAAAAAACTGATCCTTCACATAACACCCTGGGAGCATTTCCTTCTAGTCTTTTTTTTTTTTTTCCTAATTACACAGGGTCTCATTCTCTTACCCAGGCTGGAGTACAGTGGCATGATCATGGCTCACTGCAGCCTCAACCTCCCTGAGCTCAGGTGATCCTCCCACTTTTGCCTCCCAAGTAGCTGGGTCTACAGGTATGTGTCACCACACCTGGCTAGTTTTTTTTTGTATTTTTTGTGGAGATGGGGCGTTGCCATATTGCCCAGGCTGGTCTCAAACTCCTGAGCTCAATGAATCTGCCCACCTCTGCCTCCCAAATGATGGGATTACAGGTGTGAGTCACTGCACCTGGCCTCAGTTAATTGTTTGTATTTTTTAAATAAAGACAAGGTTTCACCATGTTGCCAGGCTGGTCTTAAACTCCTGAGCTCAAGCAATGCCTGCCTCGGCCTCCCAAAATGTTGGGATTATAGGTGTGAGCCACTGTAAATCTAGCCTCCTAGTTTTATACTGTGCTTTAAAAAGAAAGGTTCTGAGCCACTAAATAAATGACAATACTGACAGCCTCAGATGGGGCCTCTGTTTGCAGGAGGTGGGATAGCCTCTCTTCTCTTCACATGGAGGGCTGGTGACTGAGGATTACAGCAATGCTCACACTTCTCTGCAGAAGAACGATGGCCTCTCTGTCCCTATGCCAGCCATGCTCTCCCAGCCCTTATCCTATTATCCCATCTGTCTCCCCAAGGGGACTGAGAGGTACCTGAGAACATCATGTAGGCTTCATTCCCAGATGACTCTCCCTGAACATCAAACCGCATGGAGGCTCAACAAAAATCCGCTACAGAGAGGGAGTCTGGCAGCCCTGGAGTCCCGTCCCCATAGGTGATGGATAAGCTTACTTGCTCTGAGAGACTGGAGAGTGCCAACCCAGCCAGCCCTCTCTCTTTCGGGAGCTCCTGAACAAAGCGGTACTACTTCTTTCAAAGCATAAACTAATATTTAGTGAGCACCTACTTTAGGCCCCACTCTATCAAACATCAGTGGATCTGTCCCAAAACTCAGGGAACGCAATAAGATCAGGCTTATTTCAGAGCCAAGGAATAAGCCGGAGCTGCCAGCACAGTGGAGCCATCCTCACTTTTTCTTTTTAATTTTTTTTTTTTTACAGGTGTGCACCACCATGCCCAACTAATATGTGTATTTTTAGTAGAGAAGGGGTTTCACCATGTTGGCCAGGATGGTCTCCATCTCCTGACTTTGTGATCCACCTACCTCAGCCTCCCAAAGTGCTGGGATTACAGGCATGAGCCACCCCACACTCACATTTTTACTTCTCAATGCACAAAACATCCTCCCCCTTCCTGTCACAATAACACCTCCTCCAGGCTGGGGCAAGGATTACCACCCTTGTCTCCCATATGAAGAAACTGGCTTTGAGAGAAGTCACTCCCACAGAAACAAACAGCTCCAAGAAGGAGGAGCTAGGACCAAGTTCTACATTTCCTAATGTGTGGCTGGAGGCCTTTTTCATCTCGTCTACCCCTCTTTCGAATTCCCACCAACAGGAAGAAGCCCACAGAAGCCACCTTTTTTTTTTTCAGAGCCACCACTCTTAGCAACCTGGGCTGGGGCCAGGGAATGAAGTGGGCTGGAGAGTGGCAGCTGGAGGAGGGGCAGCCAAGGGCACCTTGAGCTCAACCACAGCCTGTCTTGGTCTCACAGCCAAGTCCTGATAAGGCTGAGAGGGTGTGAGAACCCTATGTCCTCCCCACCCAGGCTCACCACCAATCACAGAACAGCAGTGGCAAGAAGTTGCACAGAAATCATGTAGCAGCTATTCAGAAAACAGTGGCTTCTGTTTCCCACCAATCAGGGATTCTTAACCCTGAAGTTCATGAGTGTGTGCAATTCCACAGAAATCATGTGCACATGTTTACATGTGTATGGCTTTTTTTGTTTTGTTTTAAGAATCAATCTATTGCCTTCAGTAGTTTCTCTAAGGAGTCCATGACCAAAGAAAAGTTACACACTTTTGCACCACACAGTTAGCCCCACACTATTCACTGCTCAAGGGCAGCACAGTTCTTTGATGTAACCTCAGATCCCAGCTCAGTGCAGGATACAAAGGAGGCCCTGAATACAACGATAAGTGAACCCACAGAACGCTGCCTGGTAAATGGAATGCACATCTATTAAGCCACACATCTATTAAGCAGCAGCTCAGTGCTGAGCTGTTAATGAGCAGAATCTCATTTGGTTGTCATACAACCTGGGAGTCACCACTGCTTTCCTCATTTGACAGTAAGAAAACTGAAGCCCAGAGACATTATATAACCTGCCTGAGGCAGCACCAGACCCAGGATTCAAAGCAGAATGGCTACAGGAAGCCACAAGGAAATAGCTACACATTTCCCTTCCTGGGTTCTCTCCCCACTCTGACATGGTCCCAATCCTACACACTTTATCAGTGGGTGAGCTAATTCTATTTGTATATGTCTCATTACATTTGCGGTCACTCCCACCATTGTTGGCTCTTGTCACCCGCCACACTCAAGTGTGGTCAGCACAGGGCAGCATCAACATCACCAGGGAGCTGGGCAGAAATGCACATTCTCTTGGCCAGGCACAGTAGCTGGTGCCTATAATCCTGGAACTTTAAGAGGCCGACAGGGGAGGACTGCTTGAGGTCACGATTTGAGACCAGCCTTGGCAACATAGTGAGACTCCATCTCTACAAAAAAAAAAAAAAAAAAAAAACTAGCTGGGCATGGTGGCGCACACCTGTATTCCCAGCTGCTAGGGAGGCTGAGTTGGAGGATCACATGAGCCCAGGAGCTCAAGGGTGTAGTAAGCTATGATTGTGCCACCGTACTGCAGCCTGGGTGACAGAGCAAGACTCTGTTTCAAAAAAAAAAAAAAGACATGCAAATTCTTACCCATAACCATTAAATCCAAATCTCTAGGGGCATGGCCCAGGAACCTGAGTTTTGACAAACTCTCCAGGAATTTCTGATGCCAACTCAAGTTCAAGAAGCAGATTTATTACACTGACTTCTGGGCACTGCTGGTCTGAAGGTTCTCACCTGGACCCACCACCCCAGGGTCATCTACTGGCATTTGGGCTTGCCACCCAACAAGGAGAGAACTTACCCACATCTCTCAACCCCTGACTCCTCACATCCCAGACGGGAGACAGAAGCAGCAGAAAGATGACCTCTTCAGAGAGGCCTGCCATGAACACTCATCTAAAGTAGGACTCCTGGTTCTTTTTACCTAGAACATGCTGCTCTTACCCATAAGGCTCTTATCACAGTTCCGTGGGACATGTTTACTAGTATGGTTCACTGGTCTGGTCTGTCCACCGGCCTACAAGCTCCAGGGAGGCAGGAACTATGCTTATTTTCATCATCTTGGTAGTCCAACAACAAAGACTCTCCCAAAACACATCAGAGGATCTCAGAAGATTTTGCTGATTGAACATCGGGTAGTGACCGGAAGACGGTTTCAACAGGAACAGGGGTTAACATGTAAATAAATATTTCTCACCTACCTGAAAGGCTACTGAGTCGTTTTTGCTGTTCTGTGATTTAAAAAAAAACAAAAAAAACAAAAAAAAACATGGTTTAAGTGAGATTTATACAGTACATAGCAAGACCAAGAAGCCCTGTCATAACTAGTTAGGATCTCAACACTGCATCCTCTCACTGTCCTCTGGACTTAGATGCTACAATGTGCATGAAGTCATCTGACTGCAGGCTAGCTGCATCATTAAAGTGCATCAGCCACTGCATCATTAGCGCGGCTCCCACTACGCCAGAGTGGTGTCTCCCAGCCCGCCCCACTCCCAAATCTGCACCAGGATTCAGGGGACTGCCACAATTTTCTAGCTGTTTATATCTTATCTCAAGATGATTCAATCACAGAAGGGAATCCACCCAGCCCTCCAGCTTCAAGTGAGTAAGACCTTATATGATCCCAGTCTTGGTACCTTTTGAGGGAAATGTAATTATAATCATAACCATGTCAGTGACCATCTCTTGAGAGCTCGCTAAATGCCAGAAGTTGTTTTAGCGCTTTTACAAATAACACTTGTAAACTTTGCAACAACTCTAGCAGTTAGTTGGCTACAATTATTCTTTCCCATTGTACAGAGGAGAAAACTAAGGCCTAGCCTTAGCCACTGTAGTAATCTGGCTTGTCCAGAGTACAAGAGAAATCTTTAAAAAATCAGCAATGGCTGAGAGACTTCAGATAAGGGGCACAAATCACCCAAGATAACTGAAAATCAGCCTGATCTAGAACCTGGATTCCTGACTCCTAGTCCAGAGTTCATTCCAATTCTAGTAATCAAGAACTTGCTGGTCCTGTGCATTGAAGGGCTATTGGTTTCTCACCATCCTGGGCACTCGCATGGAAGGGAAGCCACTACATCCTTTGCAGAGTCCTATGTGTGCGTGCTATGAGATGAGAGCACAAAAATGACCTTTACCTCCCACAGCTGCTAAATATAAAGCAGCCACATAGATAAAAATAGAAAATTTGCCAACCCATGGGTACTGTCATCATTCCCCTTGGCTGCATCCTCACCTTCCTGCTACAATCAGTATGAACCCGAAGTAAACAGCGAGCAGCGCAGGAGCTCACGGCCTAGGAGGCGGTGCCTGGCCACTTCTGCCACGTGGATGAGGTTCATGCTGGCTGAACATGCAGAAGCCCAGTGCAGCTAGGCCTCAGCTCTGCCAGTAACTTCCAGATGACAATAGCCAATCACTAAACCTCTCAGCCTCCGTTTCCTTGTCCGTTATGTCAAAGTGTCCTGTGTACTAAGGAGACCTATGGTTCCGACACACTATTCTGAAGGCTGCTGAGCTTCAGCCAGCAGAAGTGAATGTATTCCATTTAAAAGACCACGTTGTCAACATGGCAAAACCCCATTTCTACTAAAAATAACAAAAATCAGCCAGGCATGGCGGCACATGCCTGTAATCCCAGATACTCCAGAGGCTGAGGCACAAGAATTACTTGAATCTGGGAGGCAGAGATTGCAGTAAGCCAAGATCGTGCCACTGATCTCCAGCCTGGGCTATGGAGAAAGACCCTATCTCAAAATAAATAAATAAGACTACACTGGCCAGGCACGGTGGCTCATGCCTGTAATCCCAGCACTTTGGGAGGCCAAGGCAGGCAGATCCCTTGAGCCCAGAGGTTCAGGACCAGCCTGGGCAACATGGTGAAACCTCGTCTCTTCAAAAAATATTTAAAAATTAGCCAGGTGTGGTAGCATATATCTGTGGTCCTAGATACTCTAGAGGCTGAGTAAGAGAATCACCTGAGCCTGGGAAGCCGAGGATGCAGTGAGCCATGATTGCACCACTGCACTCTAGCCTTGACAACAGAGTAAGACCTGCCTCCAAAAAAAAAAAAAAAAAAAAAAAAAAGAGACTCCGTTGTCTCCAGTTCTGAGGTGTGAAATGGCCTTTCTTTCCTAGGATGACATGCAATGCAGATAACAGTAAGCCACTTTTAGTGCTGTTATTTTAAAGCATTAGAATGAAACCAGACTGTTTTATGTGTCTGTAAGGTAAGTCTGGGAACCTCTGACCACTAGCTCTCAATGTGGTTTAAGCTCACTGAAAATGTAGAATCTCGGGCCAGGTGCGGTGGCTCACGCCTGTAATCCCAACTCTTTGGGAGGCCGAGGCAGGCAGATCACGAGGTCAAGAGATCGAGGCAATCCTGGCCAACATGGTGAAACCCCATCTCTACTAAAAATATAAAAATTAGCCAGGCATGTTAGCGGATGCCTGTAGTCCCAGCTACTCAAGAGACTGAGGCAGAAGAATTGCTTGAACCCGGGAGGTGGAAGTTGCAGTGAGCTGAGATGGCACTGCTGCACTCCAGCCTAGTGACAGAGCAAGACTCGGTCTCAAAAAAAAGAAAAAAAAAAAAAAGAAAGAAAGAAAGAAAATGTAGAATCTCATCTCCTCCACCCCAAGCCTTGTGAGGCTGAACCTGCAGGTTAACCAGACTCTCAGGATCCTATGCACATAGACTGAGAAGCCCTGAGCAAGGGGACCCACACACCTCTTTTAACCCTGAGAGTTTTCCGATTCAAGGCCTCCCTCCCAGACTGATGGTAAGTGACTCGCCTTCAAACCCATGTGGTGTGAAAACTCAGGAAAGAAGGCGAAAGGGCTGTGTTGTTCACAACCATCAGTGCCAGCCCAGAGGCTGAGTACCCCTCAGTGCCTTTCTAGTAGGGGGAAGCTGGCTTGGAGAGACAGGATTATTGCCACACTATGCCCTGGGACAGTCTTAATAAAAAAAAAAAAAAAGGGCAGGGGGGAGGCACTTTTTTAGTATGACTAAACTAGAATTCCAGAAGTGCAGTAAAGTTATTCCCTCAGGAGACTTTGCAATAGTTAAGAAATTATTTTTAAGGGTACTGTTTATGAAGCAAAGCAGAGCTGCCTGGTTAGGCAAATTCCAAAGCATGCCAAAAACACTTGACCTAAACCCCATTTATGATTAGTAACACAGGGCTGGGCCAGCGAAGCTCTTCTATTCTTCTCAACCCTTCCTGTGCTACCTGCTTAGTGAACATATGGTTTTGCTCTTTATGGAAAGCTACGATTTAATTCCAAAAAATTAGCGCCATTACATGTATCCTTTTCTGAAGGATGTGTGTCTCAGGCTGCACAATTCTGATTTTTAAACCCAAGGGCAGGACTTGGACAAAAGAGAAAGGCATTTGGGTAAATAAGAGGAATCAATCTATTCAAGAAAAAACAAAAAGGAACTACAGGCATTTCCGTGCCCAAAGATGTCTCACAAGGTGTCATCAGAGGGACTTGGCAGAAGCAGCTGACATTACACTTGGCATTTCCCAAAAACCAAGTTGCCTTGGGAATAAATCTCATTTTTAAAGAAGCTATCTGTCCTTCTGGGAACTAACTTGCTTCTGTTTGACTGAATTTAAAAAAAAATATATGAGTCATAAGGAAATTCAGAGAAACAAAATTTTACTTTGTCCTGTATTACAGACACTTTCTGGGCAAGGAAAGTCACTGCCAGTAAGGCGCATGGCACCGCAGAAGGAGAATGGGCTCCTGCATGGTTCATTGTGGGAGCTGGGGCCCTTCTTTTCTTTTGAAGAACACAGATTCATGGGTGAAAATTAATACAGGAGCTACACATAGTGAAAAAAATAATGAAACTACTAAAACAACCTTAAGATTTTAGTGGAAAACTCTGAAGTGAAAGAAAATGTTTTATTCATCTGTTTTTCAAGTTAGAAGGAGAAAACAGAAAAACTCTATTTAGTATGGAAAACAATTAAAAATAGACTCCAGTCCCATTCTCATTCAAATTAATGCAGAGAGAAGGGGGAGGGGAGGGGAGGGGAGGAAAACTATGAAGCAGGAGAGCACAGAGTCGTCAAGAAAAGGATGATGTGAGCTCTGAACAAAACAATTAAACCTCCACTGTTACTGAAAATTCAGACGAATGAGCCCTTTCTACAAGTGGAAACAGCTTGAAAACCTTACATTTCACGCTACAAAGGACTTTTGTGAAGAGAAAGTGTATTTCTCTATGGAATTCCGAAAAGGAAAACTTGGGATTTTGAATCACCATCTGGAATTTTAAAGCAGAAGGGTCAACATATGCAATGACTACCGCAAAGCACTTCTGCTTCACCCCACCTCAAGGCTTCTCTGCTTTTCTTGTTGTTTTTGTTTTTGTTTTTGTTTTTGAGACAGTTTCGCTCTTGTTGCCCAAGCTGGAGTGCAATGGCGTGATCTCCATTCACCACAACCTCCATCTCCCATCAAGCAATTTTCCTGCCTCAGCCTCCCGAGTAGCTGAGATTACAGGCATGAACCACCATGCCCAGCTAATTTTTAGCAGAGACAGGGTTTCTCCATGTTGGTCAGGCTGGTCTCAAACTCCCAACCTCAGGTGATATGCCCACCTTGGCCTCCCAAAGTGCTAGGATTACAGGTGTGAGCTACCATGCCCAGCCTCCGCTTTTCAGAGAAATAGGAAAACCAACCAGAAGCAGTCAGAGACATTATAGAAAACAAACACAAAAACTCTAAGCAGAGCTGCCTAGAACCACATAGTATAAACGGCTGGCAAGAATGAAGGCCAATGAGTCGTCAAGAAAAATTCAATAGTCTCTGTTTTCAAGGTTACAAAAACATGTTTTATATTCTAAAAAATGGTCTACACGATATGTTTTCTTTTTTAAAATTTGGTACTCCAAATTCTGCTCTCTAGAAATTTCATAATGTCAAAAAACTAAATCATTTCAGATACTATTTAAAAGAGGTATTATTGTACCTAGATTTTTGAAGCTAAACCTCTAATTACAATCAAGAGACACAAACTTTTTCCTTTCTTCTTTTTTTTTTTTTTCCTGATGATACGATTTGCAGAAGACAACCATGAACACCCAAGGAGTGGAACTAACCCAGCTTACTTATTCAGACAGTTGACATCACCTCAAATCAGGGGCCTCTGTCTGCCGGGGTTTATTTTATGGCCCACAAGAGTGAGTGAACTGGGGCGAATGGCCTTGGGAAACAATGGGATTTGTGAATATTTATGTGAAATAACAGAATTTTTTACCCAGGTATCATGGAATAGCTACGCTGGTTCCCGTGGGCTGGGAGTGGGGCACGAGTCTCTCTTACCTCGATTGTGTTGCAAGAGCACAATAGTAGGGTTGACAATCGTTGTGGAGGGATAGGCGGAAGAAGGCTTGCTAACTGGTGGAAAGGCTTGGGAATCAGTTCCAACAAGGGAAGAAGAAACTTCATTTAGTAGAGGACTGGAATCCTGAAACAAACAAACAATGTAACTAACTGTAAATATAAAAAGCTAGCTTTAATGTTTTTTAAAAAGAAGAAATGTAAAGCTTTACGATCATCTTAATTATAAAAAGAAATGCAATCCACGAGACACGTCATATCATTAATTCCAGTTAGAAGTTTAAGCTGGAATGGTTATTCTCTTTGCTGGTATTAGTACAGGGCAGAGGAGAGAGGAAAGGTGAATGTTACTGCAAGTCTCAGCAACATCATTCATTATGTCCACCTGCTAACAGTTGTGGGTCAATCCAGTTACTGAAAAACCAAATTCAAATCAAAGTAGAATAACATGCAAAACTCATGCAATTCCAAATGCGATCCAAGAACAAGAGCTGGTTTAATTGGAAAAAAATCAGGGAAGTTTAGTACACTGTACAGAGAAATGCAAGACAACGTGAGGACAAGAAGACATTAATGTAAGAACAGGAAGGAGTTGAGCAGCAGTTTTTTCAGAAAGCTACTCTTAGCATCAGCTTCACTGAGCAATTTTCCTGGTGCTTGCTTCTGAGATTTGGATATTATCCTATCCTACTGTGACATTTTTTCATTCTAATATTAAAGTGATAAGATCCCTAAAGACTTGTGAGAATCCTGACCTTAAAAACTGAAGCATCTGCCAGAAATGCCAATAAAATCATTAATACTAACATTATAATCTGCATATTGGGGATAATGCCAGTCTTTTAAAACAAAGTAACACCCCAAAAGGTAGTAAGGATAGTTAGACAGTTTTCTCCATATCTATACATTTCCATTTTTGAGTTTATAAACACTAGATTGAGGATGCTCTTCCTAAAAAGCTTTAAGAACAAGATTTTGATAGTTGCTCTTGAGGCAATAATTATCTTGAAGCAATAATCAGAGATCAACTCCTGTGAAAACACCCACAGGATGAGGGCCACCCCCTCACTCATACCTAGCCCAATACCCTGCAGATAGCAGGTGCTCAGTAAATGCCACGTGAATGACAGGTGGCATCTTCCAGCATTGGTGTGTCTGAGCAAATGTTTGTAGCAAGAAAACAAGTGCTTATCAAAAGAGGACGTGGGCATCAGCACCCAGGACAGCTCCCGACACATAGTAGGAGTGTCACAGCACTGCCTAGCGCAGTGTATCTCTTCTGAAAGTCCGCTAAACAGCTGCCACTGTTTACTTATGAGGGGCAACTCAATTTCATGAATAAAACCTTTTCTCAAGACTTGAGAAGCACAGTATGATTTTATACAAAAGTGTCTCACCTCGATTCCTCTATTTAGAAAGTGAAAAATAATTACACTTTTCCTAACTTATCTCCAAAGTGATATAATGATGATAAATGACATATCATTAAAAACTCTCTGAATTCATCCAAGAAACACAAAATATCAGGCATACAGCTCTTTAAAGTATAAATGTCTAATGTGATGTTTGGGTGGATCATATGAACATTAAGCATTTTACAAATTTTACTTTGTGTCTTATTATTGGAAAATCACAAAAACAGCTATTGACTAAAGAGCTCAAACCAGTTAACACAACTTTTATTCTTCCTTCTTTCTCTCAAATAGCTACAGATGGAGCAGGCGTCAGCTCACAACTCAGATACCATTCACAGAGCAGGAGGAGGAATCCAAGTAGTTTCCTTTTTCACCTCTGCTACCCAGGGCCAAGCCAGAAACTATCAGGCCAACAGAGGTCCTTCTGGGAGGTCTACACCAGGCTGATTAGTCAGGTTTGAGAAATCGAGGACACTGTCCCAACTAATCTGTCCTGGTACACCTAAAACAAACTTGATATGAAAACCTAGGTCTACACAAATGATAAATTATAGGATGCACAATAAAACTGCTCAAAATGGTCTGGAGGACACTAAACGTAAGACTCACTTTACCCACTGCTCCAGGCAAACATAATCCGTTTCAAAAGGAAGATGCCTCAACTCCCCAAAACAAGAATGGCTTCTAAATTCTAAGTTCAGCTGAAGGTAGAGAGGAATAGATCAGGGAATAATCTAGCATTTTTCTCCAATGGAGCTAAGCTGCAAAACTCAAAGCTAGAAGATATCCAAGCCCACAGGCCATGCTGGGCCTGGTCCTGACCTAACTACATTGCACAGCTCTAGAGATTTCGGAAGAGGGCCCAGCTCAGGACATAACAGTTCCCAGCTTTGATGTGCTTGATGCCTCATTATAATTTATCTAATAAGCCAAATAAAAAGTTTCCTTGCTGCTTTCTGCATGACTGGCTTTGACTTAACAAGCCATTTGGAAAAGTTTTGCAGGCATACCTCTTTACACAAAGGTATGTCAGTAAACGCTTAGTTCCATCGGCCAATTGCATGACCCACTAGATGACTGTATCTCAAAATGTAGTGTGTGGACCCCAGCATCTGAAACCCCTGAGCACTTCTTACCAAGTGAGATTCCCAGGTTTTTCTCCAGACCCCTCAGTCAGAAATTCTAGGAGTATAACCTGGGGGAGACCATTTCAACAAGCCTCCCTGACCCTCAGATGAGCCCAAGTACACAAAGCTTGAGAAGTGACCTCCTACCCCAAAAAACCCTTTGAGAACAAGGCCCTGACTCATGGTTGTACCCATGGTACTGAGCAGAATGCCTAGACCATGGCAGAAACTCAATGATGAGTTGCTAACTAACCAGTTACTTGCTTTTGAGTGACTGGTCCTCATTTGTCAGGGCAAGTCCTCAGCAACATGGCTAACATTCACTATCCACCTTCTCTATGTCAACCCCTGTAACAGGAACTTTTACTACTCGATCCCACCGAACCCCACAGCCCTATGAGGAGATTCACGTATCCCCATGTTACAACTTGCACTGAAGTTATCAGATTATCTCAATTCCCAGAGCTCCTAAAGGAAAAGGAGACCCAAGCACTTTGACAGCTTTTTCGCTAAAGCACTTGGGCTTTCCCGTGGCCACTGGTAACCCGTTTTGCCACAAAGTCTCCTGGGACCTCCTCCTCAGGGGCTCTAACAACTGCCTGCCTTTTGAGGTAAAAGTCCTAACATTTGTACAGGGCTTTCAGACCCACTTGCTCACTTAAAGTCAACTCTCTTATTTAAAAAAAAAAAAAAAAAATCCTAGTATCTGTCCTTTCTGTATACTACAGAGTTTATTTACTCACTAGGTCAGCGAGAGAGTGAGTCTTTTCCTCTCCAGATCTCCCCACTTCCTGGCAACTAGCACCCACCACACCTGCCGTTGCTTTTCCCGTAATTCTTCAGCTTGCCTCGGCTCTCCATGTGACCACCCGCCTGGCCTGTGAAAAGCATGGCCAGTCAACATCGAGGCCACAAGTAATGTCTTCTGAGGGAGAAAGACGTGTATTCCCAACAGGACAGAGCAGAGGGGGCACTGCAGAGATGGGGAACGGCCCCAAGAGACCCAGGGAAGACACACAGGAAGCATGCACGTGAGTGACAGGGGACACGGCTCCAGTCATCACGCAGGCACAGCGGCAGTCAGTGCTTTCCTCAGAACTCAGCGCTTCAGTGAGAGGGGGATGTGACTGCTGGGAGGAGACATTCAGGAAAGCTGTGGGGAAGGGAGTCCAGCAAGCTTACGGTACTCGAAACAGCTCCCGTGAGGTCAGGCTCCGAGACTCTGCGGAGGTCCTCCGGGGTGGGAGGGACCAGCGGAGGTGGTGGTGAGAAGGATGGTGGCGTCTGGCTAAGGGGGGCAAAGGAGCCAGAGGTGCGGGCTGGCTGGCTGTGGTGGGGCCACCTCTGTAGATGAGGGGGAATGAAATCATCTAGAGTCGGGAAGGTCAGAGGTGAGGCTGCAGAGGCGGTCGCTGGGATTGTGGGGACGCGGCCAAGAGGCCCCAGAGGTGCTGGCGATCTGGCCGTGCCTTCTTGCCCTCTGTCAGTGTTAACCAGGTAGAGAGGGACAACTATTACCTCCGGCTGGGCTGCACTGGAGGAAGTGGCATCCTGTGAAAATAAGGGGGTCGTTATGGAAAGGGGAAGGACATGAGGAAGGAATTCCAGATTTAAACAGTTGAGAGTGGGCATGCAGTGAGGTACTCTGAGAAACATTTAATCAGTGCCCTTTCCTCAGGGTACATGAGACAGTCGGAGCTGGCCAGCTGGCCTTCTGACACTCCATGACACAGAGGGAACCCCATCCAACTCCACTTTTCATCCATCTATTTTTGAATCCTTTTAACACTTTATGAGGGAGGAAGGGAGAACAACAGAACAGGCAGGCAGGCGGTGTTTAACCCCACAACCCTGCCATAGAGCCTAAAAGCTTGAGAGTAAATACAATTTCTTTGGCACCTTGTAAAAAAACATGAACAATGCATATCTCACCATGTTATTAGTCTCCGGATTCCACGCTCCAGCATACTTACACATTTACAGAAAAGAGAGACAGACAAAGAGAGTACTGTGCTGAGATGTGCAGACAGAAGAATTCGGGATTCAAGCCACAACAATATTAATGAGGAAAGGGAGGGTAGGGCAGCCCAGTGAACAATGAGCTGCTCTCATCAGTTTTGAAAGACAGTGGAGAAGACACACAAACATTCCTCATTTCTTGCCTTGGCTGGATAACTCGGCTGCAAAAGGTAAGATTCTTTGCTCTTCTGTTTTTCGGGATCAGAGATAACCTGGGGGCCTAGTACAGGTGGTCTCACATCTGGGAACGAAGGCCACGTCCCCAGGGAAGGACTCTCGCCACGGTTAACGGCATCTTTACCGATGTCAAAGAATAGCTTGGGAGGGTCAGGAGGAGGAGCAGGGGGTGGTTTTCCTGTGCCGGCTGTGCAGGAGACAGGGCTGGGAGCCGGTGCTCGGGTGCCTGCAGCCTCTGAGGGAGTGTCTTTGGCAGGGTCACGTGCAACACGAGAGGAGTTTTCTGACGCCGCCAGGCAAATGTTATTGGATAAACAAGGTACATATAAGCTGCTGACCTTTTTATTCCCAACTGCCTCATGACATGGGTTAGAGCTCACATTCTTATGATAAACTCTCCTGGTGGCTGCACAGTGCTGCTGGGGTTGGGATGAAGCACTGGGAAACGTGGAGTCCGAAAGCAAGGAACCAGGGCACACCACACCTTTGGGAGCCGATCCAGCTGCCAGGAGGACAGAGATGGGCTGGGGGTGTGAGGGGTTCTGTGGGCTGGGGGTGCCAAGTGGGACGTAAGGCTTTGGTGAGCTCATGTAGAGAGAATCCTTGTAGGTATTGTGGATGGTGGGGGACTGCCATGCAAAGCGGTCCTTTTTAGGAAGAGGAGGGTGTGGGCGAGAGGGAACCTTTAGCAATATTTTCAAGATATGTTATCAAACAGGGAAAAAAGAAAGAGGAGGGGAAATGGAAAGAAGGACGATCATTAGAAACAACAGCATTACATGATCTGAAGCAAAAACAATTCTTAACACGTTTTTCAGCAAATCCTTGGGTTAGACTCCTCATAGTATCCACAATTCTCTCCGAGTGAAGGCAAAGACTGCATCCCACTCACCTGGAGAGGCAGGCCTGACTCTCCTTTGCATACAGGGAGGCTGAGCCCAGCCCATAGCAGGTTACATTCTACATTAATTTTGATACCAATCCTTGGCTGACTGCATCTTTATTAGATGCCCTGACCCAAGAAGGGCACCAAGTGAACTAAGCACCAGTGGGAGAAGCCCCAAAGCCCCCAACTCCCTCTTCAACCTCCTTCGCTCAAGATTTATCTTCAAGCCTTTGGTTTTAAAAGTTTATGTTCACTGAAACTCTTTTGAGTGCTTTTCATTCTTTTCCTTAGGAAAAGAAGAATTGGAAGAACAGTCCTTATTTGTGTTCACAGGAGACAGATGTCCTGAGTCACTGAGATTTAGCACTCAATTCCATAAGCATAACAAATTAAAGCACCCTAAGAGAAGAATGCTAAGGATTTTTGAATATACATGTGTTCTTTTCTCAAAGGAAATAATTTGATGAAACTAATTATTAGAAAGAAGACAAGCATGAGATTAAAAGCACACAGTCTCTCATTTTTGATGCACACAAAAAGGGGACTAGGCAATGAAGGAGTTAATTGGCCTACCGGATTGGACTGTGCCTAGTTTATCAAAATCCAGCCCCATCCCCATCTCACCCAGCCCACTACCACACAAAGGGGATCAGTCCTAGAGGTAAATGATCAGCCTCGGACTCACAGCCTAAGCCCAAAGCTCTGGCTACAAGCCCAGAGGTACACACAGCATTCCCTCGCTTCTCAACACTGCTCCTCCTTGGGTCTCAGTGGAACAGACGGTCGGGAAATGGAGTGACCTTCCAGTCAGATTCTCACGTCAATGACAGTCATCTGCCAATCTGCAGCTCAACTGAGAATTAGACTATACGATAAGGAAACTTCATTTTGCTAGATTTTCTTGAGTGGCTCTTTTTCTTAAAGATATCCCAGTTCTAGAAGAATACCAGAACTTTCCTCCAAACTGTACAAGTGAACTATATTAGAGTTTGGTCAACATCAAGTGAATTTTGACCAAAAATGGGGCGGGTACAAGAATGTGGGTCTATTTGGAATTTATTTATTGTTATTTATTTATTTATTTTGAGACAGAGTCTTGCTCTGTCACCCAGGCTGGAGTGCAGTGGCGCAATCTCAGCTCACTGCAACCTCCGCCTCCCTGGTTCAAGTGATTCTCCTGCCTCAGCCTCCCGAGCAGCTAGGACTACAGGCGCACACCATCATGTCCAGCTAATTTTTTTTATTTTTAGTAGAGACGCGGTTTCACCATATTGGCCAGGCTGGTCTCAAACTCCTGGCCTTGTGATCCACCCTCCTCAACCTTCTAAAGTGCTAGGATTACAGGCGTGAGCCAATGCGCCTAGCTAGTTTTATTTTATTCTTATATTTGTGGCACACGGGTGACAAGAAGAAAGAATCTTAGAAAGAGCAAATAGGTAAAAAATATTTTAAAGTTTTATGGGTTGGGTACTGTGGCTTAAGTTTGTAATCCCAGCACTTTGGAAGACCAAGGCAGTAGGATCGCTTGAGCTCAGGAGTCTGAGACGAGCCTGGGCAATATAGCAAGACTCTGTCTCTACAAAAAAATTTAAAAAGAAATAGCCAGGCATGGTAGTACACACCTGCAGCCCCAGATACTAAGGAGGCTGATGTGGGAGAATTGCTTGAGCCCAGAGGTCAAGGCTGCAGTGAGCTGTGATGGCACCTCTGCACTCTAGCCTAGGTGACAGAGCAAGACTCTGTCTCCAAAAAAAAAAAAAAAAGTTTTATGAGTCCAGATTAGAACATCAACCCAGAAACAGTAAATAACCTATTCCTTAAACTCAGTTTTCAAGGTACAAATAAGGTAATTGGAGAAGCAGCTCATTTGGATATCATTGGTTAATTCAATGCCTAGCCTTTCACAGGGCACCCATGACAGTGCCAGCGGATATGTACCAGACAAAAAAGCTAAAATGAACAGTCCCTCTCTAGCAGTCAGCAACAGCAAAAGCTTTCAGGTGAACTCATTTGGTTTCAGTGAGCATGTTTACAGACTAAAGGATTCTATAAACAAATCACTTGGGCTAGCACGCACCAAAGGGACTGCTAGGCACGCTGATAATGGCTATAGGGAGGTAAGCAAAAGATCATTTTGATTTGAGCTCAGATTTACTCTTACTGTCAGCTCAAATGTCCCATATGTGATTTCTTCTTGTCCAAAGATAGAAATCAGCTTCAGTGAGTTTCTAACTTATTTCAGCTATTGCCATATATGGTGCCAGGGATGCATTACATCAGCCATGAGCCTTTCCACAGCCTTGACCCTGTAGAGAGGACACTTCCCCAGAGGATCAGCAGTGCACTCAGATCCAAAGGTCTCCTGCCCTGGGGCTTCTTTTAGTCCTAAATAATTTTTTTGTATTGTAAACACAATACAACACACAGGCAGGAACTACACAGGCAATTTGCATTCTGCCCAGTTGAGAGAAAGGAGTAGTAGTCCAGTTGACTACAAATGAAATTCTATGTATCTTTTTAGAAGGCGGGTCAGTGAAAATATGAGGCTTCTGGAATAAGCTGGTATGTTTATAGTTTGTACATTTCTATCAACTACTAATTCCCTTGTATAAGCCAGTGCATACTTACAGCTCTGGCAATGACTACACAGACAAGAAGTCATGTTTCCAATGTGTGACCTAAAGGTTCCTGAAATTTGGATGCCTGATGTTACACTGAATATGCCGGATAAAACCTCTTTATCAGCAATTTACCAGGTTCCCTGAAAGGGAACCCCAGTAAAAAGAAAATTATTGGATGGTAACAGATAAGAAAACACACACTGTAAAAGACATTATAGGGTGTTCACCCTTATAAACTGAGGGCAGTGTTTCACACAGTGATCTGAACACAACAGAGATGCTCAATAAAGCTGTGTTAAATAAATGTATTTTAAAAGAAGTTGTATTTACTTCACATGCTTTTAAAATTATCTTTTCAAAAAAGCTGTTTCAGAAGTCAAAAAGAATTACTGAGTTACCCTTTGAACTAAGTCACTGACGACATGCTTCTACATTTGGTCTGAATTAATCAGCACTGTTTCTTAATCTGCACAGAGCTGATGGCACCCATGAGATGGCTGAAAAGGAAGTGTATCTGCCACAGGCAGCACATTTATACACTGCGAAAGGGTTTAGGAATGGGAAAACCATGGCAAGTCATTTACCAGACAAGTGACCTCCCCAGTCCCTGTGTCTAAAGAGGACTTCAGAAAGCCAGGCTCTTTCACAGCTCCTGGTTCTAACCAGTGACCCTGGATGCATATGGTCGTACCTAGGGAGGAAAGTCATGGCAGGTGGTAGAAAGGCTAAATGTGTTTATTGCTAAATGTGTTTGTTGCCTAAGGCAGACAATTAAGCAACCAATTCCATGCTGGCGAAGACAGACATCTGTAAAGAGAGAGAAAATCATCTCTGATTCAGCTTCATTTCAGCAGCAAGTGCAATTTTACATCCTCAGAAGCAGGAACCAGAGGATCATTGGAGAAGTGGGGTGGAAACTAAGAAGAACCTGCAGAATTTCCAGACTTCTCGTGAGTTCTGCGAACACCTTCACAGAAGGAAGGCACAGGGAAATAGACCACACAAGGAACACATTTCTGCAATTGTTTTTGAGCAGCACAGCTTCCTTTAAGAGAAAGGACTAGGCTAGATGTGATGTCCCACACCTAAAATCCCAACACTTTGGGAAGCCAAGGTGGGAGAATCGTTTGAGGCCAGCTATTAGAGGCCTCAGTGAGCTATGAGGACACCATTGCACTCTGGCCTGGACAACAGATAGAGACCCTGTCTTAAAAAAGGAGAGATGCAGAAAGAGAAAGAAAGGACGGGGGGCGAGGGAGGGATGGAGAAGAGGGGAGGGGAGAGGAGGGGAGAGAAAGGAGTAGTAGTCTATTCCACAGATGTGGCTCCTGTATGTAAAAACGTTCGTCGCAGGTCACCTAAATTAAAACATGGTGTATTCCCTTCATCAAAATGACAAAGTAACAAGAGAAGAGGGAAGGAAGAAAGATCAGGAAAGCCACCTAAGGGGGAAGGACTTAAGCAAAGGTATCCTTACTCCAATTTGTACAGCTGTGGGGGATCTTCTTCTGTAGGATAGAGCTGGGCTGCACTGACATTTTGCCTGTTCCTGGGCTGCTGGACTTAGGGCCTGGCCACAGCTACCTGATCTGAATCTAAGGATACTGTCGCTGGAGTTCTTATAGCCCCATCTCCAGAAAACAACTGTAATAAACACAAGATACATTCTTCTCTTCAATATTACACTCTAAATAATTTTTTTTTAGACATCTCAGACCTTTTTCCTACGTATTCAAGGCTAAATGAATTCCCTCTTTCAGAACACTTCTACATACACAACAAACCTAGAAAGCCTCGGGGCCTATTTTCCAACACCCTGGTACAGATCAGCTTCATTCCATGCCTCTGCTCCCCTTGACCCCAACATACCCCTAGCTTGGCCCTTGCAGAGCTTATCCGGAGTTGTCCAAAAGCTTGAAACCTATTCCATTATCCAGTTGGGAAAGCAGGAAGTCACCGGCCTAAGAGACTCAAGAACAGGTACTGCTCCACCAGTCCCGACCCTCCCCTTGGGCACACGCCTACCTGGGACTTGTCGGAAGGTAGGTTGGGATGCACACTTCTGTAGCCCTTGGCAGCGAGTGAAGAAGGCTGGGCATTTCCATTGGCATCAGCATTGGAAGAAGGCCTCCACTCATCTGAGAAACAGGAAGGGAAAAAACCTCTCACTTACAGGGAATAACTCCCTGGTTCCCCTTTAACTCAGGGGTCCTTGGTAGAAAGCCAGGACGGTAAGAATGCAAGAGAAACCATACCTGCTGACGAAGGCTCTGGCTCCAGCCCTACATGTGGTACAGAAAGGATAAAAGCAAGAAAAGGGGAAAAACAGAAATGGTTACATTGCAGGAAACAAGCATGAACTGCATAGAAGGATGAAAATCCAGCACCCCGTTGTCTGACACAAAATGCCCTCAGTCACGATGGCCTAATTACCATAGGAACCCACTCAAAACCATGATGTGCTCACAGGCACTGACCTTTGAAAACACAAGGCTCACATTCACAGGGATGAAGAAACAATTGTTACTTGACATTCTTGTTTTACAGACAAAAAGGCAACAGAATTCTCTACTGGCTAGTCCCTACTCACTGACTCTCATTCCCCTTCCTCCTGCCTGCTGTGGGCTCAGAATGACCGCTCCCAACTAACAGGCCCAGGAGAGACAGAAGTGTTAAAACACACTTTCCATGGATGTTGGTACTGGGCTAAGGGGCAGAACATGACTTAAGCCAAGAGGTATCTGCTGTGATAAAGACTTTTTTTTCTTCCTGTCTGCTTTTCTTCTTTCCATTAAATGAGCCACATAAACATTTCAAAATCTAATCACCCTTCCTGAGTATTCATCACATTATAAAGCATCCTTGTCTCCCTTCAGCCTTCCCAGCCACTGTCTGATGCATTTCAGGGATACTAAACCTCTCCTACTTTGATCCACATATGAGGCAGCAGAGTGCAGTGGCTACCAGCCCAACCAGGACAACAGCTCGGCCTCAGTTCAAATCCTGGGTCTACCACCTAAGGGTTCTGTGACCCTGGGCAAGTTATAAGCCTCAGTTTGCCCATCTGAAAAATGGAGATAACGATATGCCTGTTTTATAAGTGTTGTTAATAAGAACATATATGCATGTGAAAGGCCTGCCTGGCGAAGCTCAGTAAATATTTGCTATTTATCATCATCTTCTGTACCATCTCTTGTCTCTATTCTCTATCCTTGATCTAACCTAGAGGTCCACAGACTTTTTCTTTAGAGGGCCAGATAGTAAATATTTTAGGTTTTATGAGCCATATGGTCTCAGATGCAAGTACTCAGCTCTGCTTTTGTAGGACAAAGGCAGCCACAGATGATATGTAAATGAATGAGCATGGATGTGTTCCAATAAACCTTTATTTATAGACACTAAAATCTGAATTTCATATAATTTTCATGTGGCATACAATACCATTCTTCTTTTGATTTTTCTTTAAACCATTAAAAAATGTAAAAGCCATTCTTAGCTCGAGGGTTGTACAAAAAAAGGCACAGGCCAGATTTCACTCACAGCCTCGGTTTGCCAATCCCTAATCTGGTCAAGCCTTAACCCCTTCTCCCTGGCTGCCTCCTCTTGCCTCACCATGTAGAGAAAGAGGAACTAATACCGCAGTCTCATTGCCCAAGCCTCCAATTCAGTGTGGGTTCCTCCAGGGCTGGACGTGGGCTTTCCAGATGCCAAGTTGAGATTTACAGACATTTACTCAACATCTCTCTAAGTGCCACTGTGAGTCACTGCTACACCCATGTAGTTTGAGTTCAGTGTACACAACAACTCTGTGAAGTAGGTAATCACTGTCCTTCATGGATGTGGAAACAGAGAGGCCACCTGACTTGCCCAAAGTCACACAGCCAGGAAGTGACAAAGCAGTCGGTCCAAGTCTCCAGAATCCAAACATATCACCGCCGCCAGCCACCAGCCTCACTATCAGCCATGAAATGGACGCTAGGCTTCAGAGAGTTGGTGGGGGCCAAAAAGAAAAAGCAAGGCAGGGTAAAGGTTCTGAGTGATGTTAAATTTCACTTTCTCATCTATAAAATATAATCCTTACCCCATACTCCTCACAGGGAGTATAATTCTCTGATTCTCTCCAATTGAAGAACTGGAGAATCTTTAAGAATAAAAGATCAAGTACATGAAAGTACCTCTGAGTACTTTGCATCCAACCGGATCCCTAGCCCAGAGCTCCCCTCACACCTGGCAGGCCCTTAAACACCAGGTGACATGCTCTGACAAATGGTCCATTGTCCTTCCTCACAGCTATGACTTCCACTGTTCCACCTTCGAAGTTGCTATTTCTAGTCTACCTTTGTCAAATAGGTCTATCAAATTTATTAGATTTATGCATATATGAAATGTCAACAGGTTCTGAGTGCAGGGCTATCTAATGAAGGATGTAAGCTTTGTACATGGAATTGGGAACACATTATTTTGCCCACTTCCTGGTTCTCATTTGGGTTGGTTCTATTCAAGTGACATTAGCAAACAGGGATGTAATGGAAAGCTGAGATGTGAACTGTTCTTCCAAACCTCCAGGTATCATGAAGGGACCATCATTGTGACATCAGATTGCCTAGTTTCAGCCCTGAGTCTCTATCTTGCTAACTGTACATACTGCAACAAGTGACCTGGCCGCACCTGTGAAATGGAGTTAATATCTACCTCTTTGAATCATAAGCACTAAATGAAAGTATCTGGCATAAAGCATGTGCTTTGCAAAATCAGAATTCAGAGCATAAGGGGAAAAAAACCCATGGACAAAAATGAGCATTGTTGATCTCTGCCATGTGATTAAATAGCTTTAAGATCCTCAGGGAAAGATCCACTTTTTCTTCTCATTCCAAGTCTTTAAAACTATTCTCCTTACCCTACCCCAAAAAGGCAGTTCCCAGGACCTCTTAAATGTTCCTCTCTTTTTTGTTAAAGGACAGCTGTATTTCTTTTTTTTTTTTTGAGACGGAGTTTCGCTCTTGTTACCCAGGCTGGAGTGCAATGGCGCGATCTCGGCTCACCGCAACCTCCGCCTCCTGGGTTCAGGCAATTCTCCTGCCTCAGCCTCCTGAGTAGCTGGGATTACAGGCACGCACCACCATGCCCAGCTAAT